GCTTCTTCTGCCTTTGAGCACTCTGTCATGGTGATCCGTCAAAAGCGCGCACCACCACATGCACATACGTTAATATATTTAACGGGTGAATAAATTTACAAGCAAATTACAATATAGATGCTCCTCGACTTAAAATAGGGTTACGTTCCGACGATCATATCGTATGTTGAAAATATCGTAAGTCGAATATGAATATGATATGATAAATAATTACTACTGTTAACTAAATACCAGTAATTGAAATGTTAACATTAATCGCTGGAAGATAATGCTAAGGACGAAGCCACAACAACAGGGTCATCAATTTTGTTTCTTCTGATGATTCACGTTCGCGAGCATTGGGTTGTCGACGCTTACTGATGGTTCAAGAGCAGGAGCTTGCATCTTCAAGAAGATATCAAATTAATGACTTATTTCTCATTTCCAGTATAAATTTTTGTATAGCAAGCAAGAGCATCCCGTATTTGTCTTTTAAATTTTGCCAATCTCATAATTATGATTCGTCAGAGTATATGTTGCTAAACACTCTATGAGATATTTATGGTCGTGATCGCTACAACGATTAAGGGTACACCAATACCACACCGTCATCGAAATAGCATTGTAAAGCGAGGAGCATCTGTATATGCATTTCCACGTTGCACCAAATATGGCCAATGGGTATATACAGATAAATGTACATCATGCAATTACGTTTCAGATCCTAAAACATAAGTGGGTTTAGCTCTAAGCTCAGCCTCAAGTAATAAGAGGGAATTCTGAATGCAACTGTATGATGTTAACATCGAAAAGGATTTCGTAAAGTCCAATTTAACAGAGCAGACCAGATATTTTTGCTACCTGCAACGTTTCGGTCGTAAAAAATGTCTTTTTCAAAGTAAAAGCTTCAGTTCTGCAAATAATAAGCGTACATGATGTCTAAATCACTGCATTAAAACGATAATCAATTTATCATGCATATGGCGAGGAATCAAAGTCAATTTCCGTGTGAAGATGTCAGAATTGTTTTCGAATTTCAAAGACGACGCGTATCTTCAGCAGTTCAATCACCAGAGAGAGTTGGACGAAAAGTGATTGACTGCATCAAAGATTGATCTTTTCAGGAGCAGACGTAAGATTATTATATCGCAGTGAGGCGAAACGACATTGAACAGAACCTTTCAAATGCGGGAAAGCAGCAGTGGATATTCAGCAAGTACCACATCCTACATTCTGCAGATTCGCCTGTTCGTAAAACATGAGAAACTCTTCTCTCAGAGCATCGATGCTTAAAGGGGAACACCAACCATGAAAGAATAGCATTCATCATATCATCACAAAGCGGAGAAAGCAATTAGTTAGAGCACTCAAAAATTACGATCAGTATACCCATTAAGGATCAAGCTTTGGACTTTTTGACCTCAAGATCGAATATTCTCTTTAATCAAGAAATATATAGGGAAATATGAATGTACAATAGACTTGGATTATATAATCTAAATCTTAATTAGTTGCCTGCGTATTCAATCGGAATAGAGTACATGGTAAATATTCAGTCAACGGTTAAGTATAAATTCCTGTTCAAGAATCAGTTAATTCATTCTGAACCTTTGTAACAGCCAAACATGAAGAGAGAGACTAGCAAAGATTTGAATATGAAAAATATTACTGTAATGAGCAAAAGGTTTATGTGGTTTAGTAGAGCCTTTAGCACAAAATGAACCATACCCCATTTGAGACCACATTGATCTCTGGTACAACCTGAGGTATCGTCACTAGAACTTCTCTTCTCTCAGGGGCACACCCAATACGCAAAAAGATGAGAATATTAGTATGACTTATTTCGCTTTTCTCCATTTATGCAAGTGAAGTACTTCCATACAGTTTATTTTTATTATTTAAATAAACTGAACCTCCTTTGCGCCATTACTGGGGTAAATAGGGACTATAAAATGAATACAACGACTCAGACGATAAATTACGTCGTACTCTTTATGGACAAAACTTATACAATAGCCTTTAATGTTCATTTATTTCTGCTAATTTCCGTTGTTTAATCAATCACCTCCATCCATCCACCCTATGACAACTTGTCCTTTTGAGCTGCGGAGGCAGACGCGTCAGGCAGTGGTTACCCCATTTTATTTTAGCGTTTGAGTTTTGGCAAAAATATTTTTTTATTTCTGCCCGGGATCGATTGAACCAGTAAGAGTAGCTTCGCCTTTCTTTCTGGAGGCATTTCCAACACGTGCCCAAATCATTCCAGTTGTGACTTTCTACTCTGAAGAATCACTGACTGTGCGAAAACGCTTTCTCGGACTTCTGAACTACTTCTCATGTCTAGGCACGCGAGTAAAGCAATTCGTCTAAGCAAATGCATTTCAACGATCTGTACGTTCTTCATTTATGATCCGCGATTTTACGCAGAAGATTGGCACGGGGATGAGGATCGACTAAAACACTGAAAGCATAGTCATCAGATTCACCTCTGCGTTAATCACAACTGTTCAGGACAGTTCATACAGAAAGCCGCTGACCATTTCAATTCGACCACCAATCACTTCTTTTCATTATCCATCTCTGGTAAACAGGCCCTCGTGGTAATTGAAATTCTCCGCCTCTTTCACTTCTTATCTGTTTATCCGAAGAAACTAACGGACAGGAAAATGGTAATGCATTGGCTGTTCGTTTTAGACAAGCTCACATGCATGCTGGCCATGTCGCACTCGGCGCGAACATTTCTATTAGGTGCTGGAGATCAGTTTCAGTAGATATAAGCAAAATACGGTCGTATACAAACAGGAACCTTGTCGTCTCGACATCTACTCTTATAACTCATCATCCTGGTTATTCCTGATCATTCTATCAATGAACAACACAAATGGGAGAGGGCACAGCACTTAGATTGTACGGAGACAAGTGACATCGCTGAAAGGTCCTTCTTTGTGCCACTTACTTTGACGCAGCATCTGCTTCCATCATGTAGTGATTCATTTGCCAGTAACAATTGGCCACCGATTCCATATATTTGCAGGTACTCTATAGGCTGTTGCGCAGGATCCGGTCATAGACTTTCTCTAGGTCCACGAAGCATATGAAAATTAAGTTAATGAACTTCAATGATTCTTTACTGTGCAACGTAAAGCCAATATCTGATCAGAGGTGCTTCAATAAGACCTAAAGTCATATTGTTTTTCTTTTACCATTGTGTCAACTACTCAGCGGCAACCCCTATCTAGCACCTTTGAGTACACTCATCCAGGGTGGCTCAGTGAGGTCATGCCACAAAATCAATAGCACTCATAATTGTATGCTCTCTTAAACATGGGTACTAAACTCAATTTATCTGGTCCCGGTTGCAGTTTCATAGACGAGTGCCCTGTTCGCCCAATGTTTTATGGATTTCAAGGCGAATTTCGTCCATTCTAGCAAATTTTCCATATTTCAATATTTTACACAGCATGTGTTATTTCATCTACAGAGATTAACATGCCCGTTTGGTGCCGCTCTTCAGGCGATTCTTCCTGCGTTTGCTCGGGGTTAGGAAGTTCTTCCTATGTTGCTCAGGAAGGACGCTTCAGATTTTTTCTCTAATACTCTTAGACCACCCTTCCTTCCGCGTCGAAGACGGTAAATAATCTACCAGAATACCTCTTTTTGGCGTATGGAAACTCGATTCCAACATCTCTTTACCTTCTCTCAGGAATGAGCAGACACCATTCTCGCTGTTACATTGCAAGCTTCTCTCCGCTGCATCCGATTTAAAAGCTTTCTGTTTTAAGCCTTCTGTTAAATGCAACCTTCAACTCGGCGACATCCAGTAGAACCTGCCGTATCCACCAGGAAGGTTTTCTCTGTCTTCGTGAATGCAGGTGAATCCGTTTTGTACCGCGGAATTTGTCAGCAGCCCGAATGAGCCATTCTTAAAAAGCATGTGCTCCGTCTCCGCATTGATGGTCAACAATGCGATCTGTTCAACCGTCGTGCGTTGTTGCTTGCAAGTTTCGCACTCGTATCCGCAGATGATAATGCTCCCATTTGATTCTCTGTTGCTTCTGCCACAAGATCGTCGCATTGCATTCCATTTTTTGCGGCGTAGCGTGCCAACAAGAAGGTGATGGCCGGTTTAATGCGAACAACCATTACTGAACTTCGTAAGTTAGACGATACGATTATGAAATTGATCATTGACATCCGTGCATAAGCTTCCCTGTACCAGATATACTGATGCATGGTTCGATTCGATGCCTGAAGCTGTTCACAACAGGCAATGCGTTGTTTGCATAGAACTGCAACAACTTCATGCCATCATTGTAAAGGCCACTAATTTCGTTGTTTCCAACAGAAAAGAAACAGAATACATACGTACATATCACTTTTGGTTCCTTT